CAATGCCTCAGACAGCATGCGCAGGTAATAAATCATCGACGACAGCAAGCTAAATTATGCTAAATGGGGAGAACACATATCCAAATCTTTCTTGGAAGAGAGCACCAGGTTCACACGTGGATAAATGTCCTGGTAACAGGCAAGTCGATCCCATTATTGACCCACCTCTATGGGCCTAAGATAAGAATACTGCTGCTTGTTAATGTTGTCTTATCTGCTAAGGAAACACATTTCCTTCTCAATACAAAAGAAGCTGTGATATGACTGAAAATGGCACCAAACATGAACTATAAACAGCTTAAAAAAAGAAAAGAAAAACACTATACAGAAATAATTTTCTGGATTAAAAAAAAAAAAAAAAACCATACAAAAATTCTCTTTTGCCCTCTGAACTGCCTGTATATTTAGAAACACAGAAATTGATGAAGTAACTAAACTGTTTAACTCAAAGAAAGGCGATCAACTTCTACAAAGCAGAGAACTCTCTTGTTCTCTCCCTAAGCTGGAGGGGATAATGGGAGGGTGGCCTTAAACATCTGCTTGTGAAGAATTTATTCCCTAAATCATTGTCATTAGATCCAGAATAAATTGTGCTTCAAAAGGGAGCAAAGCGCTTTCAGCCTTCATCAGACAAGTGGAGACATGAAGCCAAGACCTAGGAGATGGGGGAAGCAAGGAGAGAGAGACTTATATGGCAAAAAATCTTTTTCATTTTGACTGGATTTCAATACTGTAAAAATGCAGAAAGCAGCACTTTGACTGATATGAAGAAATAGCGAAGTTAATGGAATTTTACACTCCGGATATGTGAGGAACTTCTAAGGTCATCGTGATGAAAGGAAATGCATCTCATCAGCAGACTCATGCTTTATTTTACCACATAAGTAGCTGAGGCTGTTTCAGAAGAGAAACTGTCATCTGTTCTGGAGGTCTTGCTGTATTTATGGGCAGCTTCAAAGATGATTTCACTCTCTCTCTCTGTTAGAGGAAGAGAGCGGAAGAAGACCCTTTGGCTGTTTTTGTTGTCATGTTTTTTTACTAGAAAAACATCCTGGAGCAGAAGGGAGTGATAACAAAACAATAATTTAAGCAGCTAACATGCATTAGCAGAACATTTTTCATTTTAACAGCCAGTTGTAACACGATGGCTGATTTTACAATACTTACTTTATGTCTACATCAGTATTAGACTTCAATAAATGTGAGAAACAAGAAGCATAGAACATGAGTCAATCTGCCTCATCATGAACTGTACAACTTTTAAAATGGTTCAGTCATAAGTAACCAACTACAAAAAAAGCCCTTGAAAAAAATTGAAAGACCCCCCTCTCCCCCCTTTTTTTAAACACAAAAAAAGTGTCAAAACTGTTTCTCTGTGCTGCTAAAACATTGCCCTGTTTGTTTGAGAATTCCGACCAGCCCAGCATAGCAACACTGGCTCAACCAATGATGTGAGTTTGGGTGCAGGGCTATCTTTTTGGTTGGCCAATAGAAGACGGTAGGAATGTTCATTAAAACCAATCATTACTTTTTTGCAGTTATTTTTGTTGCTGTGCTATCAAAACACTACTGTTTGTTTGAGAATTCCAACCATACCGGCATAGTAACACCAGCTCAACCAATGATGCGAGTTTGGGGCGGGTCTATCTGCTTGGTTGGCCAATGGAAGATGAGAAGAATGTTCGGTTTGGTTATGCTAGTCATGCAAAAATTACACACTTCACCTTTAGGCAATTATTAAGAAATGATTCTAGAGCATCTATATTTCACAGATAAAAACAGGATAGAAATATGAATTTGGAATGGCCCACTAGTACCTACTACCTCCTCTGAAGTGCATATCTGATGGACACTTTGCCATCCTGTAATACTGTAGTATCTATGTTAGGATAGTATTCAGGATAGTAATAGGATAGTATTTTACATAATTATTTATGCCACTATGGCATCAACACCATTTAAACAGACTAAACTGCTGACTGGTGTTACTGGGGTAATTTTCATTGCACAACTGCCTACACAATATTACATGATTATCTGATTTTAAGCTTTGAATTTAATTTGGTAACACTTTAGTATAGGGACCAATTCTCACTATTAACTAATTGCTTATTAGCATGCCTTTTATTAACATATTGGCTGTTTATTAGTACTTATACATCACATATTCTGCATGACCATATTCTACATCCCTAATCCTACCCAATACCTGAACTTAACAACTACCTTATTAACTATTAATCAGCAGCAAATTAGGAGTTTATTGAGGCAAGAGTCATAGTTAATGGTTTGATACAAGCGAGAATTGGACCTTAAAATAAAGTGACCTTTAATTTATTATTGCGTGCTTTTCACCAAAACTCAACCTTTTCCTGTGTACCAAGCTTCACCATATACCATGGGAAACCTACATACTATACATGTATACTTACAGAGCATACTTTATCTTGTAATGGTTAAGGACCAAGTTCTTTCTCAAATGTAGTACATACTTTTATAGTATGCAGAATTAATAACCCCCCCCCCCCCCCCCCCCCTCAAATCATAAGGATAACCCTATATGATAGCTTACAGTGTTAACATTATAGTCTTTACTGACAGCATACATGAACTGGGAAGCCCTGTTGTCCCAGGACAGCTATAAGCACAGTTGGGAGCGTGTCATGTGTTTGGCCTGAACAGTGAATGATCTTTTCCCTTGTTATCACAGGAAACTGTGCAAAGGGCCTACATATAGCTCAATGATGGGTAGATGACGTAAGGCCTAAATATACTCACATTTCAAAAAATAAAACAAGTCATAATGCACATGGAACATAATGAAAACATGGGTGGGCATTTCCTATTGGCTTTGTGAAAGGGCTACATCCGTATGCACTGCGCCCAGATATTTTGAGGGAAAAACGAAAAGAAAACAAGACACCAAAGAACCACTGAAAATACTGCCTGAAGCAGATAGCATGACATAAACAGCACCCACATCCCAGACTTCCACTGATGCAACTATTGGGAAGTTGGTTTCATCCGAAACCATCAGCGCAGCCTTTACAGCTCAACCATCTGACAAACAGCACAGCTCAGCCTGAGGTACAAGCCTGGGGCAGCACCTATTTTGCCATGCTTCCTAACACTGGAAATTATAAATCACTGTGTAAATGAAGTCATGTTTATGTTTCAGAGATGTTTCAGCGTGGGGGCTGGCTGCCTGGGATCAACGCAGATGTCAAGACGCCCACCCTGATGTTAGCTTACTCATGAGACGCACAACCAACACTGCTAGAAAGCTATACAAGAAGGATCTATGTGTCCAAACATAGTTGCAGGCGCCCACGGATTCCCTCCAGTTCAATGCTCTCTGTTTTCTCAGGTCAGGAAATGCACCCCCTCTCCCCTCTGCAACATGACCCCAGGAAGTGAAGACAGAGGGAAAAACACAACAGAATGAGGCAAATGTACAACATGTGGAGCTGAAAACTTCCCAACTCATTTCTGGTCAGACAAAATCAAACCCACAGCTTTCCCAACATGTATTTTTGTCTAAAATACGTCAAAATTCATTACAGTTTGTGGTACACCACTGTAATATCTTACATATTGCCATTTATGTGGATCCAACATGCACACATGTCACCATTTTAGGGCTTTACCATAGTTCCACAGAGGTGTAGCCCACCATTTTTATGTCATTAATGTTAGCAACCAACATTTATAGAAACCTAACCCCATCCTCATCATTACTATTACTGATTCAAGATTTAGGACTATTACGTTTTCTGTTTGCTCATATTGATTCTTTCAACAGTCTTTTATCTTTCTGTTGTCTCACGGTGTCTCAAATACATGTTTTTCAAAAAGACAAATGCTGAAGTTGGAATACATACTACTCTTACCATTTCTGCCATACAAATATATAGAAGAAATAGTTAGAACAGTATGGTAGTACTCTATTTACAATTTAGTCATGTTATAGCAAGAAACACAGTTTTTAGAAAAAAACCAAACAAAGGCAGATTAAATTGATTTCCAGTTAATTTATTCTATTTTACAAGTACATCTGACTGGAAACCATGCTGTTCATGGAAATTTACAATTTATTTCTATGGGATATTCTGTAAATTTTAGTTAGCCCCAGTAACAAACGAGGGTAGAGCTTAGTGTTACCCTTATGATGAAGTCACGTTGGATCTGCTAAATGAATAAATGTAAAAGTAAATGTACTTCAAAGATTAATGTCCTGACTCAAAAGATATTTGACACCAGAGCGTGACAATACTTGATGACCATGGTGCTGACTATGAACTTTCCCCCCTATATATTCTTTCCGCCCTGATGCCTTTGATATCACTAAGCTTCAGTTCTGAATTCATTATAGCCAATTGCTATGTAAAGCCATACATAAGAACATAATTATGGTGCCAAGAGTCCAAACCCTGTCTGGATTGCACTAATCCCAATGGTAAGTAAATTAGGCGTCTCTGGATTGGGTGAGATCATGGTAGCAGAGATTGACACACCTGAGAAATTTAACTGTATAAGGGGCTGATTCTGTTGCCTCTGGCAGTGTTCGACTCAGCTATGTCTGCCAGGGATTACTTTACTGGGTAGGCAGTGATGACAGGCTCCCCTGAACTGTTATCACTGTTTGCACTCAGCTATTTGTTGATATGCCAGGAATTCATATTTTTGTGTCTTTTTTTTCTCTCCCATCACCCTTTTTTTTCTACAGTACGTCAGTGAGGTGCAGAAAGACAGCTGTGATGACAGCAGCACTTCAAATAAAGTGCTGCCTTTAGACCCACACAGTTCTGTTTACTCAACTAATTGTATTCATTGCGAAGGGCATACCTCCCATTTTAAGTGCACGCTCAATAGAAAATCTTTTTCCGACATGAAGCGTAACCACCGGTAGCATTGACCCAGTTCTTTTGGTTAACTTTAATAACCCAAGTTATTAGCTATTAAGACTCTGAAACTGGAATATTAAGGACACTACATCTTACCTTCTGATCTCTTGAGCTCCTTACGTTGTATTGCTGGTGAGTCTTTTTTGATGCCATTGCTCAGGGGGATGACCAGACTTGGCTCAGACACTGGCACCTTAGTCTCCACTTTGGAGAAAGAGGCGATTCGCTGTAATATGGAATCCACACTCTCTTTGGCATGGACATCGTCCTGATCGATATCATTGCTGATCTCCATCCATCCTGACAGGGAAGGTGAAGCAGGGGCCACCTGGACCACTTGGGGCTTAGAGACCACATTGAACTGTGGAGTCTGGGCTGGAGACAGAGGCACTGGAGATTCGCTGATGTTGGGTACTGGGATAGCTCCAGGAGGGGTGATGGGCTCTTTCTTTTCAATGATGTTGTTGTTGTTGTGGGCCATGGGTAGGTCTGCGCTGTCCAGGCTGCTGATGGATGCAGAGGGACTTGCTGAGACAGTGGGACTGTTGGATAGCGTGTGGAATCTTGGAGGTGGTTTAGGTGCTCCTGAGGATTCCGTCTGAGACTTGAAAACCAAGTTATCAAGGTCAAGAGGGAACTTGTTGAGGCGAACCGGATCTTTAGGCCTAGGTGGCTGGCTGTTGATAGAGGAGTCTCTTGCAAAGGAACTGCTGTTCTGGATGTTATGGGGATTCCACTGCAGACCTGTATTGGTGAATCGTGATCCAGGCGAAATCACTCGTCTCATTCCTACAGTCTCCATCTGGAGGTCCAAAGAAGGCATGGAGCCATGGCTAATACTCATGGGTTCAGTTGAAATGACCAGAGGACCCTCCAGCTCTGAATGGAACATGTTTCCATGTGAGGAGAACTTCTTCAGGGCAGGGCTGCCTAAACGTTGGGCTTTGAATTCCCCAACACCAACAGGACTCTGGGGAGGGCTTGTGTAGGAGCAGAGTTTTGAAGAGGCCTGGTACTCCAGGCTGGAAGAGGAGCTATGGAGACTGTCGTTGTCACTTCCTGGCCCGGAAGACGAAGTGAAGCCGATGGGGTTGAATTTGTTTTGAAAAGAGGCAGCTCGGTTGATCCCAGTATTGGCATTGATAGTGGGTTTTCCCATTGTCCCTCGGTTGAAGGAGAGACTGGAAACCATCCTATTTCTCATAACGGGGCTCTGGGCAGGACTGCAGCTGATACTAATCCTGGAGCGATAAGGAGGAGACACTTGGTTCCCTGGACTCCTCACATCATTTGTCTTGTTGAGGATAGCACTCGGGCTGATGGGAGATGTGACAGAAGATGTAGAGGAGAATGTGGGAATCTCGTTCACATCATCAATATCAAAGGACCTCTTCAGAGCTGTATAAAGAAACAAGACACAAACTTGATTAATTTTCAATGTCAGAAGACACTCTTGAAGGCTTAATGAATAATAAAAGACATATCCTAAAATGCGGTCAGTTAAATTGAACTTAATAACCAAAGGGCAAATTTCAGTTCCAGAAACACTAGGCTATAATTTTTCAGGTAATACATTTCTAAATTGGATGATAATACTGATAATACATCAAAGATGTAGACTTCTTTCATGATATAAATCATAAATCAGCTAAGACAGTAATTTCCTGTTTTTGATTTAAAGAGGCACTAAAACCTTAAAAGGATACACTTCACGGTGAGGGCAGCCTGGAGCCCTCTCTGAATGGACGCCTGTCAGACAGATTTTGAAGGGCCAAGCCATAATTACAATGGTGTCTGAGCAATCTTGCTTTGAGGGTGATATAACAACTGTGAACAGATATGCTTTATTCAAGCACCCAGGTTGTGTTTCGTAAGTCTTTAAGAGATTAGGACTAAGGTAGATGAAAATATCTGCACATAGTACAAACACCAGTTAATGATCTTTCATACAAAAGAGTCGATATTTCAGCAGTATTGAGATAATTATAAATATACTGATACTAGATAAATGAACAAACAAACAAAAGCATTATATAGTTAATTCGAGATGTACATTTGCATTGTTTTTGCTCCTCATGTAAATGTTTTTCTTTAAGTTATATTTAGATTTTTTTTTAACAGAAAACAAGACAAAGCACACTGATTATAAATTATGAAAGCAGAGAATTTAAAATACCAGACGAATCAAAATCCACACAGACTGTGAAGTAAAAATTTTCCATGTCACCCCTACATCAACTTTAAAAGCATAATGACATTTGTTGTCAATTAAAAACATGTGCTAACGAAATGTGGAAACAGTCTCTCGTGGGGCTGAACGGTAAGTCTACACCTGGAGCATGTAAATTGTGGTGACACTGTATAATCCCCTCATTCTCAGAAGCAGCAACACAAAGCCGAAGGCAAACAGTGCTTTCCGACCTTTTCCCTTTGTGAGAGGCAGTGGCTTTTCCTCCAGCACAAAGGACCAATTCAAAGACACAGTGTCAGGGGCTGAAGGCTTGGATTACAACAGCCCTTCACCGTGACTGAGAATTCCAGTGGCGAACAGTACAAATGTCCTAACAGCTCTGTGGCAGACCCAATTAGAAGTGGCAGCTTGAGCATTTCACATAGACACCATTGCGCCATATGATGACAATTGGATCTGTCTAGGATGTGATGCCATGAGGTGCTTGCGGTTGCAGACTACCACGGCTCACATGCCATCAGGCACCATGATAGAACGTCAGAGGTTTTCAACCCTCTTCAGGTGCTGCCTTGTGTAAACAAGCAGATATCAGTGTGAAGTTATCATAGCATCTCGCCCAGCAGCACTGATTTTATCTTCGCCCGGCAGGGGGCAGGGCTGGAGCCAGGGCCACCTGTCTTCCCATAGGGTATGCTACCAATTAGAGTCACGAAGACTACAGGCATTAAATGAAATCACATTTCACGCAGGAACAGCCCCCTCTTTTACAGTGAGGAGACCACAGACCCTTTGTTTCAGCTCGCCCGACATCATCCGCACAGCTGTGAATGTTTAGGCCTAATCAAATTCCAGCAGCAAGACTGTCTGTGCATCGCGCTACAAGCAATGTCATTCTCTTTAGAGCCCCAGAAGGCATTTAATATGAGAAGAACGCCATCAGGGTGCCATTTGATTCAGTGGAGGAGAGGTTAAAGTTGCCGTGTGTACTCTCACAATGGCAATCAAAGTGATGGAGAAGTGCACTTTTGCAAAGAAGTACGCACCACTTTAGCTGACTACAGTTTCGGAAAGCGAAAGAAAAGACACGAAGCGAGGGAGGGACAGCAAACCAAGTGGCAAAGTCTAACAGCTTTTTTTACAGTGCAGCACATGCAAGTGTAAACTTGTACTCCCCTTTGACTGAGATAAAAAGGGGCCGGTATCAGGTAATTACTGGCACCCTGTCAAATGCTCAGGAAATAATTACGCTGGCAGCCGAGCGCATCATCTCTGTGCTGTTCAATATTCTTTCTCACAGCTTTGCTGCAGTTTAATCCTCTCTGTTAACACATGGAGCAGCACAATGCCTGCACAATCTGATAAAAGAGAGGAACCTGAGAAGCTCCTTCTTTGCCCTGCTCTCTTTTTTCCTCACGACTGAGTCTCGAGACTGTTTGCAGTGTGTTATGGTTCTTTGGGAAATGGGATAGAAGTCAATGCCTCCTGTGAGAATTATATGCTTCCTGTCAAATACTTTGTTGACATTCTTTCATTAAGGACATTTTGGGTCCTTTTGTAATTTCCTGTTAATAACCAGGTTCAGTGCAGCTTGGGACTGTTTGACCCTTGGAGAAAAAGTTGATGCATTCAATGGCTACATAAACACAGATTCCCATTGGTTTCTGAAATAAGATCAAAAGAAATAGTTCAACCAAAAATGAAAGTTATCGTTCCAAACTTGTATTTCTTTCCTTTGTGAAACACACAAGAACATTTCAACAGTTTTTTTCCATACAATAAAAGTCAGTAAGGTTCAAAACATCATTGCTCCCCATTGACATACAGTGCAACACTGAGACTTTTTGATCGTTTTCTACTGAAGAAATGTCAGGTTTGAAACGACGAGGCTGAATAAATGATGACAGAACTTTCATTTTTGGGTGAATGATCCCCTTTTAAATGTTGCCAGCCACAAATAACCAAAATACCTTGCACAGTGAATATATTTGTGACCCGTTCTAAAGGGAGCCACATGCAGAAGAATAAAAGATACATTTTCTCTGTACATTCCCATAGATTCAGGATCATGGAGTTCATGGTTTTACTACACTAGCTGCTATGTTACTTTGGACCTAAGGTTTATGATGAGGGGCTGCAAGGCAAACAGAGAAAGGCCTGGGGATGATTGCAGAGGGGGTCGTCAAAGAGACAGTTGGGGGAGGTCAAGGGGACGCCATACAGTCACTGATGGATGGATGACCTATCCATGACATTTCTGTTAAACACATATACAGATCATATGCTCAAAATCAGAAACATTTCCAGTGTAAATGTAGCTCCTCTCCTCATCTGATAGTCCTGAGAGGGAAAGTTTTAGAGCTGCAACTATAGGGAGAGTGAATCGTTGGCCAGGCGGATTGGGGGGGGCAAGTTTGGGCCTGTTGTGGTTTTCCATCCCCCACCATCACATTCCTCACAGGTATTCCTAGACGACCCCTTGAAACACCACCCAAAGCACATATCTCAGATGTTGCTCGGACCACCTCTGCTAAGGCACATCTGGAAGCTGAATTCCGAGCTGCCATTTGCAGCATTGCAGTGATGCGTATAGGGCGCTGCATTCACACCCCCGGGGGCAATGAAAAACTTTCACACAGTTACAGATACTCTCTATTACACCTTTTTAGCCTTTTGAGTTGAATTTAGCTCCTCCATCATCGTGATCCAGTATAACTGCATGCGCTATTCAACACCAGTGTGCTTTCATTACCATTTCAGATTTGGCATCTAATGTTCCAAATGGAAATGAAGATTAAAACAAGCGTTAAAAAAAAAGCAACTCATGGCTGATAATGGCATTTGATGGGCTTCAGTCCACATATACTCAGTATGTGGTATCAACTGTCAAGTAATTACATAGAAACATGCCTGAGCCACTTTGTGTTCTCCAGGATTTCTGTGTCTTTCTAAATGTAACTTGGAAGCTTTTTGAAGAATCTGATATTAGAGAAACATTTTAGAACCTACCTTTCCTAAACAATAATCAAAGAGTAAACAAAGGTTGAATGAAGCTTGACCTTCATGTAGACACTTCGGTTTCGGGTGGACCTGTTTTTTGGAATGATAATCAAACTGAGGCTGAGCAGAGATAGAAATAATCCATAAACTTACTATTTAATACTAACCTTCCCTCGCCTCCATAAACTACCATTTACACCCCAATACTTTAGAAAGATTAAGTTATAATTAGTGTTTTGTAAGACTGCCACATGGCAAATTTGGAAGGTATAAATATTTGAGATAGAGACAAGAAAAAAAGAGGCAATTTACTGTAATTGCCCCAATCTAGCTCAACCATGAATTAAATATCTGTGATTGACATAACAAAATGCAACATCAGAAAGCTGTGCTACTATCTACAATCAACATAAATAAATAAACAAACAAACATTTAAAATAAATAAATAAATACATTTTTTAAAAGTACAATAAAAAATACCATACAAAATATATCCACACTATGAATTCTGTATATTAAAGATAAAATAAATTCAAAATATATAAATTAACAAAACAAAACTAAAATGAAACGAATATAAAATTAAGCATGTATTATTTACCCAAATATTTTGTCTAATAACTGGGTAACACATGTTACGACACTAAATAGTGTGAGTTTGAAAAACCACAAATTGGACAACTATTTTGTGAAACAGTATTTGCTGAAACAGAAAAAAAAACAGATAACATCAGATGGTCAAGCGATGAGTCTTTCGTTAAATGGCACATTTCTAGAGTTCAAGGTCTAAAGTTTCTAAAGTTCAAGGTCAATTTGTGTGTCATGTTTAGGGAGCAAAATTCATAACTTAACTTGGCAGTCTATTTTTTTTTTCTTCCCAGTAGTGTTCATACACTCATATTTAGACAAAGTACATAGATATTTCATACAGACCTTCGAGCTTAGCCTCCCTTATCCCACAAGGCTTTACCAGGGGCCCTATATCTCCTCAATCTTTATTCTATGACTCCCATAATGCTGTGAGGAATGCACTGTATAGGCTGAAAAGGCAATGAAAACCATCATCCTTTGTTTTAATGTAGATTTTAGTGAATCATTACCACGAATCAAGAACATATAGACCCTGGATCTGCTTGATCAAAAATGTAGCCTCAAGATATATATGCCGTCTCTAATGGGCCAGTCTCAAATTACACAACAGGAAGGTTGAGGCTGGTTCTTTTGAACATATTTTGCCTTTCCCACATTTCCACACATTCACATTTACAGGAAATGCATCCGTCGTCACCCTCTGAACAGCCATCTCCATGCATCACAAGTTCATGCCTACAATTAAACTTCTACTGATAAGACATGGATGACTGCTTTTCACGGTCACTCGACCACAAACGGCCATATAAAAGAACCAAGGATCTCACTATACGTCCCACAACATTCCAAGAGGCGTTTTCCTCAGAATGAACAGCGGTTCTGTCTATCTTCACTCAAGCACATGGAGGCACACTGATCTCTTGTTCGGAAATGACCTTATTGGCTGGTTTGAGGTGAAGCTGAAAGAATTTAATGTCTCTCTTGTGGCATCTTCAACTAGGAATCACATGGCCTGGGTATGAATCTGAGAAAACTGTAGTGGCCAACACTAAGAACACTACGTCTTTCAACACATACATACTCAAAGTGATATGGACGGCGATGATACCATCTTCTAGTTAAATTCAATTTCGCCTTGTCTCAAGTCATAATACCTTTTAAGAGCTTAATAAAAGTTAGCTATAACTGACAGAAATCAAGGCATGTCAAGTGATTTTGTTTAACGCATTGGCAAAATGCTGAGCACTGTGCTGTTTCAGCTCTAGAAGGAACACACCCAGTGAACATGTTTGTTTACTGCTTAGCAAAAGACCCCTCAATCTTCCCTGTCATCATGTGTAATTGCCACAGTCTCCTTAAGAATGAGTTTTGGCTGAAGCATCTACCAGACAAACCGCTTCACAGCATTACCAAGGCAGCAAAAGCGCTTCCTCAGACAGTATTTAGCTGACAACTGTTTCCACGTAGCACGCAGATATAATAATAGATGGTGCTTTATTCTGAGTGCTTGAACTAATTTGTTTTTCCTCTTCACATCAGCACCTGTCTAAACACTGAGAGAAACTATTGTTCTCCTGTCCCCGCTGTGTCCGTCCATGACGGATCTATTGGAAAGGGTGCCTCTCTTCCTCAGAAATGTGTCAGATTCAATAGTGGCTTCACTCAAGCACATGGAGGCACACTGATCTCTTGTTCGGAAATGACCTTATTGGCTGGTTTGAGGTGAAGCTGAAAGAATTTAATGTCTCTCTTGTGGCATCTTCAACTAGGAATCACATGGCCTGGGTATGAATCTGAGAAAACTGTAGTGGCCAACACTAAGAACACTACGTCTTTCAACACATACATACTCAAAGTGATATGGACGGCGATGATACCATCTTCTAGTTAAATTCAATTTCGCCTTGTCTCAAGTCATAATACCTTTTAAGAGCTTAATAAAAGTTAGCTATAACTGACAGAAATCAAGGCATGTCAAGTGATTTTGTTTAACGCATTGGCAAAATGCTGAGCACTGTGCTGTTTCAGCTCTAGAAGGAACACACCCAGTGAACATGTTTGTTTACTGCTTAGCAAAAGACCCCTCAATCTTCCCTGTCATCATGTGTAATTGCCACAGTCTCCTTAAGAATGAGTTTTGGCTGAAGCATCTACCAGACAAACCGCTTCACAGCATTACCAAGGCAGCAAAAGCGCTTCCTCAGACAGTATTTAGCTGACAACTGTTTCCACGTAGCACGCAGATATAATAATAGATGGTGCTTTATTCTGAGTGCTTGAACTAATTTGTTTTTCCTCTTCACATCAGCACCTGTCTAAACACTGAGAGAAACTATTGTTCTCCTGTCCCCGCTGTGTCCGTCCATGACGGATCTATTGGAAAGGGTGCCTCTCTTCCTCAGAAATGTGTGTCAGATTCAATAGTGGACACGGCTGTGGTGAGGGTTGTGAAGATGGTTCTTGACGCTCTGCAGTGTAAAGAAACGAAGGTTTGGGAGCATGCTAAGATAATTACAGCAGCACACCAGTGGAACTTTCACTACATAAACTTGTACAACTTTTGGAAGTTCTTCAGAACAGACAGACAGACAGACAGACAGACAGACAGATAGATAGATAGATAGATAGATAGATAGAATATACTGTACACTAGAGGCATGTTTGCACTAGTAAATTTAAGTTTTAAAGCTGCATCTAGTTTCGTAGTAATACCAAAAGTACACTTAAATTAGGCCATGTTGTTTTATGAAAATATATTTTGCATACATAAATTATACACTTAATAGGATCACTTAAACATGCCCTATGACCTAACACTGAAGACTAACCAACCCAGTCAAATCAGTCTTGCCTCTAGTCATCCATGTGCTTAGGGTCTGTATGGACAATGGATATCTACACTTTACATCTAAGTCTTCACAAAGTACATTACAATAAAGCATCAAACAAACATTCATAGACGTCCATAATAAAAAAAATTGCATGCCAAAATAGACTGAAAGAGACTTTTAAAAAAGTTTTAAAAAGAGAAAAGAAAATCTACATCCTAATTATTATTAATTTATCGACGTACATATATCTGCATTTTTATTATTCTACATACACATGGCGAAAAGTGTTAAGAAAGGTTTTTTCAAGTTTTTAAACACTTAATCTGTAAATAATTATACTTGCAAAGTTTCTCATAGCTCCAAAAAATCACTTATTAAAATGAATGAACGCGCGCACTTACCCTCAAAATCAGACAATATCCCCTCCAGATGGTCATTGACTGAGATATCCGACATCCTGACTTCAGCCCAGGGAAAACTTCCAGCCTCAGTGGCACGCAATCACAAGAAATACACTTTGCGAAAACAGCACAAAACCTCTTAAAAAATTTCAAGTTTATCCGACGATTTTTGGGCTTATGATGCAACAAAAAAGTTGCGATTCTGGTGGGAGTCGTTTCTCATCTGAGAGCTCAGAGCAGAACGTCAGATTCAATAGACACCCAAAAGCAGACAACCCATCTGATAAACCTCCTCCTCCCTTTGAGTCCTGCCCCCTCACGAACAGAGTGGTGGGTAAAGTGACTCCCCACCCTGCGGCTACACCTGGAAAAGGCAAGTCTGTCCGCCTTCGTTTGCTATTTCTGTTTGTTTGTTTGTTTGTGTGTGGGGAACATGCGTAGGCTACCCCCCAAAGAGGAATACTCTTTGTCCTTATCTCATGAGAGATGAGGGAGGGATTGCGTCTAAGTGGATTTCTTGAGAAGCCGATTATTTATCAATGAAACACTTTGTATGCGGAGCAGCAGGGCTTTACGGTTTGTAATTGACTCATGCGGTCCGAACGCCACCGATCAGCGCCATATATAGGGGACACCAGGGCTTGTTGTTGCACGGTTTACTAAAATAAATGAAGAAAATTAGATTGGCTTTGGCCAACTGCGGGGCACAGTGCCACAATGGCACAAAGAAGAATTCAACTGCAGAAATTCAATGGCACAATTACATTCATGAATCAGCAAAAGTGAAAAGATAACAAACTAGATTATCACACCAGTGCTTGGCCAGCCAATAGTGCAATAAATTGTAAGCTTATAACATTTAATAAAACTTCTGACATGTGACGACCAGCCCCCAGAACATCCATGTCCTGAGAACATAGTTCAGCTTCTTAGAACAGAATTAAATAGAATTGCCTATCTAATTATGTTTCTTACACCTACATTTTTACTTCCAGAGAAAACACATGCAGTTGGACTTTTTATTGGACTTTATTTATTTGATCAAAAATACAGTAAAAATAGTTTATATATATTTGAAGTTTAAAAGAACTGCACTTATTTGAAAGATTGTTTTTTGTAACAATGCCAACGTCTTTACTGTCACTTTTAATCAGTTTCATTCGTCTAAATAAAAAAGTATTAATTTCGTAAAAACGACGACGACAACAACAACAAAAAAAAAAACGTACTGACGCCAAACTTTTGAACGATATATTGTAGTGTCATAATGCAACAAGCTATTTATTTACATTTATTTTTCATTTATTTTAACTGTGTGTGTTTACGAAATTAATTTTTATTTAGGCGCATAAAATTGATTAAAGTCACAACTTGCAATCACAAAAGCAGATAGATAAATAAAAAAAATGATTGATTTAAAAAAAAAATACTTATACAGTATATATAAGTTTTTTAAAGTAATTATTACTTTTTACTATTTATTTATTTATCTTTCTATTTGCTTTTGTGATTGCAAGTTGTGACTGTTCAAGGTACTTTGAAAGAAGAGTTAAGGACTTACCTGTCCTGGATTAACTCATGAATTGACCCCTTTCAAACAAGCTCATTGCTGTGTGGTTATCTGATAATTCCAGAGGGCCATGTTCATGTCAGTGTAGTGAAGAGCAAGTGGAATGCTTGTTTTGTTTTATTAGATGCATATTTGCTGCACTGTATGCTTATTGTGCATAGATACTGTTGAGAAAATGAAAAGGAAACCTCATGAAATATTGTGTGTGTCAGCCTGTATAAAAAAGTGATTTCTAGCAATGCAATTACACTCAACCGTAGCAGTATAACAATAAGTCTTAGATCAGGAAACAGCTTCAGAAGGTTTAATCCATTGTGGAGCTGAGGGATAACAGAGAGTTCCTTTCATCTTTCATGGCCTACTTTGATTCTGGTGCTTATTTTCAAGAAATAAGGGTTTTTATTTATATCAGAAACAGGAAATGTGGCAATTAAAAGTGGAAGGAGACTAAGAGTGGCCATGTGACTGAGTTCCCAGACTCCACATTTGAGCGTCCATGCAGAGGAGCCAGGCAGTGATCCTCAGTGGCCCTCATTAGCCATATGAGTGTAGTGTGCTAGGGATTAAAGTCACATAGCCTTTAATACTCAGTCTGACAGGTTCTGACTGTAGGCGAAGAGTTTCAGTGCTTTGGAAGAGAAGTGAGTCCTTGAACCGTGCCGCTAACCACCTCTGTCAAATTACATGGGTGTCCGAGGAACAACAATTTCTGGAAGTTGAAAAGTGCAATTCTATGTATTCGTGAGCTGAGCAGAAATGAAAGGAAGGGAAAGGATTAGATTGTGTGATGTTTGTATTGTCAGCTGTTCTCCTCCATGTCTAAAGAGCACTGAAGTGATAACGGATTTGTGAGGGTAAAAATAGATTTGGTTCTTGTCAGAGACATCCATTCTACCATAGTAAAAACTTGATTTCAAGCATAATTATTGTGCTCTCTGAACTAGGGCCTGATGTCAAAATATTTTTTCCTGCTGCTTTTTTGTTCCGTGCAAATGTGATAATTTCCCAAAAAGTTTAATGGGGTTCCCAGAATTTAAACAAAAGACCTTTGCAACTTTTAAACAAATTACCAGTCATGGGATATGTGTTTATGCAATATATATTAGACCTTTTAAAACAGCCTTTTTTGCATACATTCGAGGTAAACAGTAAATGTCAGAGAACTAGCAAACACAGCTGCTGCAGCAGAAAATTACTCATAAACTCTCTCAATTTCCTGCACGCTGCAATTGACTGAAATGCTTCTCAAAACATTTAGGGAGCATTTAATCCTAGCTCAGAGTTACTTTCCCATACCAAATAAATAAGCTGGAGGTTCTTAAGCATTGTTTCAAAGGTCATGACCAAGGTTTTTATAATATTATGCATGTCATTGTTAATCCACATGATTTATCTATACTTAAAAAAATCATTAAAGCAGATTTTGGTAGGATATGTGACCAATAGCTGAAAAAAAGTCTATATGTTTTGTATACATACACTACTGTTTTTTTATGCTCACCAAGACTGCATTTATTTGACCAAAAATATAGTAAGAACAGTCATATTGTGAAATGTTTACAAATTGAAATAACAATTTTCCTTTTTGATATACGCATTTCAAAATGTAATTTATTCTTGTGGTGGCAAAGCTGAATTTTCAGCAGTCTTCAGTGTCACATGATCCTTTATTCTAGAAATCATTCTAATATGCTGATATGGTGCTCACAAAATTACTTATTATTATAAATGTTGAGCGCAGTTGTGCCTAATATTTTTGTGAAAATGTGTGATACGTTTTTCAGGATTCAGTAGAAAGTACCAGCATTGATTTGAAATAGAAACCATTGATAACTTATTTGCTGTCATCTTTTTTTTTATCAATTTAATGCATCCTTGCTGAATAAAAATTGAATAAAAATGTACAAAAAAAAACTTGCTGACCCCAAATTTTTAAAATACTAGTTTTATTTTGGCACAGGTTAGTATGTTACAGTTTTCACACTGCCCACATAAGCAGCATATAGAACTGAGCATATTTTTGCCATGCATAGCATGCTCAAATCAGCAAAAAAGTGAAAAATGCTCTGAAAGCTATTTGTCAATATGATCTTTTGCAGTATAGGCTTTTATGAAGTGTGAATGATTTTACTTGATTTTGGAGTAGCTTGATGCAGTGACAGGCACACAAACTCTATTAATTCATTAAATCTAACTGAATGCAGATGATTTCCACAGTGTGTCGCTCCAGTTTGTATATTATTTTTTATAATTTTATATATGAATTTATGGCAGTTTTTTGAACAAAATGGTCAATGTAGAATATCAGAAGTAATTTTATTTTCTGTATAAAGCCACACCAACAAACACACCGTCATTTTGAAATCTCAACACAAATCTGTTGCTGCCTTTACGCTATTGCTTCTCCCATACATTTTTATCAGGTTTTTTATCATATTTGCAAGGCAGGTATACACTGACAAACTCCTGGCAGTATCAAAACCCAGAAGTGTCATGGTTTTCATCTTCCAGCTGCCACTTTGAGCACAGACCGAGATGAATGATTTCAGACCGGCGCATTTCAGCGAGCAGAATATCTTCTGTAGCAGATGCGCAGACATCCACTGAAGCGGGCAATTACGTGAAGGGCTGTGCAGGTTAAGTCAGGCTCATTGGCTGGACGGTGGTTGACCTTTGACCTCACCCGCCTCGGGTCACAGATAAGGTGCTGTCACCGAGGTATGTACTCTTCAGAAGCCAGTGTTAACATTGTGTCCGTAATCTGCTCTTAAAGAGGTGAAAAGGAGACTTTTCAACCCGGCGAGCCAATCATCTTGAAATCAGCTCTGGCACCTGTGGCTGCAGGACATGCATACCTGTGAGCATGTTGTCACTACGGCTGACAGCGCCGCGCGGTGAAATATTTTTTCAGATTTCCTCGGCGATCAACAACATAAGCCCCCTCGCTCCCATTTTTCAGTTACCGACTTCGCATTGTCGCTGTTGAATTATTCAAGGCGCGATGGGAGCGCCGCTCTGACAGGAACAGGAGATTAATATTTGTCATGCTCTCTGATACGGTGCAACTGACCAGAACAGCAAATGAAATCTGATCAAGGAGGGCAGAGCAGTGTATGAGAGCTTTCCCGCTGTGCACTCCTTCTTCCCATCATACTCTTCCTCACAGCTGCCTCCAGCCAATACAGATAGAGGTGAGGTGCAGCACAAATCACTGGAGTTTTCCCCCAGTATCCAATTATATCCTCTGCAGAGATAGAGCGCTGTGTCGTCGCGAGAAACCGGAGCGAACTGAACGTGTTGCAGGCGTTTTCTTGTTTTATTGTGTGTGCCTGGTTGCTTTCTCAGGGTGTAAATCACCGTCACAGAGGCTAATATCTGTGTTGACACTGCTAATTGATTGATCCCTTTGGGAGCTGCACCTAAAGCAAAAGGGTGATGGGCCGGCTGTCATCTAACCCTATCCAGAAATCAACTGGCTGACAGGCAGGAGAAATCTAGCCTCTGGCCTCTTAGTTCCCATCATTCCTGTGACCTCCTAATCATTATCACCATCTACCGCATTGCGCTGACGCAGTCAAGCATGACAAAGCTACTGGGGGTAGAGGATCGTGAGCTTTAAAGACACAAGAGCCATAAGTGGGGTCATATGTGTTACGTAAGGACACATTCAGAACCTGGTGCCCAGGTGCAAGCAAGTCAGCCGAAGACCTGCTTTCATTTGGCTAGGATAAACGTGGGATTGTTTGGAAGAATAGTTTGCCACCTGGTACAATGATTTGAAATACTAATATGATTTAAAGGGATAGTCATTCTTACTC